TGTTGTTGTTGTTGTTGTTGTTGTTGTTGCGGAGGCGGTGCTGGCTGCTGATGCTGCTGCTGCTGCTGAGGATGATGATGATGGTGCTGTTGTTGCGGTGGTTGCTGATGATTGTGGTAGGGCAGCGCGGGTGAGAACTCGGCAGGATAATGACTGGTGGTGCACGGATACACCGAATTATCGTAGCATTCACCCTCGTCCATCTTGATGCCGAGAACTTGCAGTTCCTGTCTCGTGTATCGTTGAGCCGTGTACGTCTCTTGGAAGCTCGGCAAGGGTGTTGAACTGCGTCACACAAACAGATCAGAATTAAATGTCAATGGACCGGTCGATTCTTCCCGACCGAACGAAATGCCAACTACGATTTTTTTCCTTTCCCCTCCGCTACTGGGGGGCGATGATCGTTAACTCGTTAAACGACGAAACGTGCAATCTCGTCGTAGGTACACTCGCGCGCGGAATAGGCAGATTAGACGCGTAGAAGCGTCACGAAAGAATGCCACGAGTGCGATTTATCCCACACCCATCCGCCGCGTCTATCTACGATGCTATATACGAAAGGTGAAATGCACAGGTTGAAAACAATGAACACGGTACCTAAGCGAGTCTGGCTGGACGTCCTCGGCGAGAGGCGCTGCTGACGGGGGCGGCTGCGGTGCTTGCTGGTGATGCGATTGGGCCGACTCGTCAGCCGTGGGTACTCCTTGCGGATTACCCAGCTGCAGTTCCGGAAACGGATCTAGCTCTTCGGGTAGACTTCCAGCGTCCGCTGGATCCGTGTACGAGGCGCTCAACAAATCCGCCAGAGTGCTACATCCGAAGGGGCTCTGGAAAAGTCGCGTCGAACTTTGGCTGGATCATTTCCAATATATCGTTTGAACAATTTTCAACTAAGATTTCTAAACTTGCGTTAAACTTGACAGAGATATTTTCAAAATATCTTGCAAAAAAAAAGACGATGCTCCAACGTCTTTTTCAGGCGAATAAAGATGGACGTTGAAAGATAATTAAGTGGCACTGCGAAGTGTCTGTCGACTCTAGATAACTTTGACTGTTCAACCCTACGAGTTAATACTGTCGCCACGAGCCGGACAACGTCGGGAGAGCCGCGCGAGCGGCAAATCGACTGTAAGGCGGTAACATTGTTCGACCACAATTGCGAGCCATCGATGTACAGTTGAGGTGCGCAGTGAGGATGACGGAGAAGAACGGAGCTGGCTCTCGTATCGCGTGTTGTCTATAACTCAGGCAATCCGCGCGGAGATTTCTACGTTAAATCAAATGGAGCGAATCTTTTCTTTTCCCAATCCGAAAACTCGTTGGCTACTTATGGTACGATCAATCCCATATAATTCTATCGATCATCCGATACTTGCCTGTCTCGATTTGTAACTTCTCTCCCTGCCTCGTCGTAAGTATTATTATTACCTCGTCCCACGAATATTACTATGAATATCAATTGACATTTCACTCGAGTGCAACCACGTTGATGGCACACAAATAAAAGAAAAAAGAAGAAAGAAAAAAATGTAACAATTAGAGCAGCGATTATTCCTCGAAGGAAGGAGAGAAAATTCGTCGAATCGGCGACAACAACAACACGGGGGCAAATCAAAGACACGGAAAAAGCGTCTGGCCAGGTAGGCACTCAGGAGGATATCAGTAGGAGGAAGGTAGGATGGGGTGGGATATTCAATTTGCCGGGTTGGTTCCGCTCCTGGGCTGACATTTCGTTCATCGCTCCCTCGGGGGGACCGACGATCGAAGTCTCAGCCTGTCATAACCCTGACTACGGCCTTCTAAACGGCCTCAACTTCTTCCAAAGCTGTTCAACTCCCCATTCTTCCTCGCGAAGCTTCCTACGAGCAATTACCAAACCGTGAAGGCGTGACCGCGCGTTAGCTTCTCTACGTGGGATTACACACTAATTTCGTAGCAGAGCCACGACCGAGCGTTGTCAGAACGTTGTTTTTCATTACGCGCGTGACGATCCCGCAGAAACGGACGATCTCCAACGAGGAAAAAAAAAAAAAAAAAAAAAAAAAAAAAAA